AGTACTGGTAGTACTAGGTAGTACTGCTAGTACTAATGCATAGTAGTTCATAGTAATAGGTAGAAATGGTAGCTAAGGATTATGAACATGGGCATTTGCACCAAAGTCATATTATCTACAGTTTTCCACTTTGTTGCAAGATCGAATTCGCCATCCTATGTCTCCAGTATAAAAAGTTCTCAACAGCAAAAGTGCAGAAAAGTATTTGGGTTTTATATAGGAAAAAGCATTTCCGAACAATCATCTTTTGCGATTCCTCAAACTTTTATCATTAGAGTGCCATTTCAAATAGTATCATTTTAAACCCACCAATGCCACACATTAGACGATTTCTCTTGCTTCTGCCACTGACTCAGTTCCATAAGAAGGTTTACTTCACTGAAGTAGGCCTTCTTATGGAGCACACTTGTTATTCAGACAATGCGTCTGAGATGAAATCGCACACATAAGTAAAATTAAATCGGTTTAATTTGTTGTGTAGCTAACTTTGTGTTTTACCATTGCCTTTTCGAATAGTGTTCTCTTGAGTATTTGGAATGTACGAGTTAGTGTACTTGCCTACCAGTTCTTTTTTCAGATTATGCGTTTTACTTTTATTACCGGTTGTAACTGCAGCAGCTATTAGACTTCGTTTGAACGCATCTCTGATCCTTGTCGGTATTGTTTCCAGCTCTTGAGCCCCTCCGGTAACACATATAATTAATTCAGGTGTTTTTAAGTTCCACGCTTCTTTCATAAATTTCACAATATCTTTGGCAGTTGATTTAAGAACCGATGGTTGACCTGGATATTCAGAATTGAATGGTAAGCGAATATACTAGAACACAGAAAATTACGCTACTTCCAAATATTTCTGCATATAAGTATTCATAAACGTTTCTGTTTCAACAACTTACATTTGATAAGCGTCCATTTGTGGTAAAACGAATCTGACCAAAATCATTTGTTAGAAAACTGTTGAAAGAACACATTTCACGTCAATACAAATAGTATCAGTTCATTCCGTTCCTACATCTTACGTTTCTGTTTGCTGATTTTTTATATACTACAAAAATAAAGATCAATTATACAATCAAAAGCTACATCGATCAATAGGTCTTTTCTTGTCTGTTTTTTTAACATACGTCTTCTAAGTTGTTTTTAGGGTCTGTACTTTAAGTATGCATATACTTAAAAGCAAATTTGAATAGATGGAGAAGGTTGCAAAACGAACGGTTTGTAATGGACATACTGAAGATACGGTGCATTATCATGATCTTCAGTACGATTAATTTCTCCATTTTCGATCAAATTTGCATCTGTTCTCTATAAAAATGTATAAAACAAGTTCAGTTGTCAGACACATAGCACATTGCTTTATTCTTTTGTAAAATTCATATTAGAGCAATCTTTCTAATTGGCCCAAAGCCGCCAAGAAACGTTGATCGAAATAAGAACTTGAATTATTCCGTTTCTCTGCCCTACAAAGGATATCATAGTAGCTATTTTGAACTTCGCTTTATAAATCTATTTCTATATTATCTCATCATATTTCGAACACAGTGCTTCGCAGGGATCCTTGTGGGCGCGGAAGCCCATGGATGTTTTTAGCCGTCCAGAGGTCTGAGCGAAAAGGTTTTTCTTCTTAGGGGATAGTACCCTAGTAACAGATGTTTCTAGCCCACACTGAAAAATGCAGCAGGATTGAGTTGAAAATGTCTCAGAATGGTCCTTCAGACTTTTCTTCTTTTAATTTTGTTGTGTCTCTTCAGCTGTAGTACGCGAAAGAGAGAATTGAACGGTTAATTTCAGAAAAAACGATAGGTTTACCCTATTTTATTACGAAAAAATATCTTCATCCATGAACGAAACGTTTTTAAAGTACCATTGATGGGCGTCAATGAATGAAAAATATTTGCGTCTATATATGAGGGTTTATTTATAAGAAGAATTGTACTCAGCTCTACAGACTTTATACGTGAATCGCCCTCATCCCACTTTTTGCATCGTATAACCG